CAACAACACATGTAAAGTGGGTTATGTTGTGACAGACTTTAAGAACGCCCAAAGTTGACGTAAACAACTTCTAATTGAAATACATGCCGAGAGTTAACCAGTCTCACGTTTATTTTTTAGCAATACAATATGCTTCGCAATGTAATAAGTGGCACGTATTAGCACGGTTTTCGCACAAACAAACGTATGGGTTCAATGAAAACGTTTATCATGTAAAAAAGACGGATTCAAAGCTCGCAACCAATACATATCACTCGTAGGTGAAAACAACAGTCGAGGAAGTACTCAGACACATTCTTGTAAAATTCCGGAACTCGACATTCAAGTAACGGCAATTTGCATACGAATAGAAATGTAGCGGTTTTTTAATCTGCATGTACTTTATTATAACTTGTCGATAACTCCTAGCTGCATATCAGCATACGTCTAGGTAGTAACGATAACACCGATAAATACTATCTGGGAGTTGGTATTACTAGTTATTAGGGTAAAGAAATTAATGTTATTCAACCTAGTGTTTTTTGGTCCTGTGTCTTGGTGGGAATCGCACTCTTACTTAGTCCAAAGTGTCGAGTTACTGGTTTGAAGTCCAAAAACGTTATTACACGAAACGTGCAGTTAGTTGACCTCGGATAAACGTTATGCGGAATGTCGTAATGGAGAATTTGAGATATACATGTGTGCACGACTAATCAGTACACGTGGGTGAAATTCACAATTTTATTGTGAAATTTAAGTTTGGGTTTAGCGTATACGTATACGCTTCGAGACCAGTGTGTGACTTATAATGTGTTTTACCTGACTGAGCAAGAACGTGATTTATTGGGTATATATACAGGTGTGTCAAGTTAAATCTCCTTATGACTGTACACTATGCTCCCCTCGATTTATATTGCAAGTTTTTGTTTTTGTTTTATTGACCATCCTGTATTTCATGTCGGCACAAATACATTTAAAAAATAAATGTTCTTCCAACAATCCATGTCGTCGCAACTATTCTAATATAAGGGGCCACATTGGTAGGGTGTATATTTGCATGTGTCAAGTAGGTAAGGTGGTCACGTGTTTACGAACATTAGGTTGCCCAAACACGGAACTAGTATTGCATTACACGTAATTCATAGTGTGTATTGTTAATATTTACACAATGTATTCTATCAATATATTCTAATCGTGTTGTTTTTAAAGGTGTATGACTTAAAGGTGTCTTTATCTTACGTTACGTTACGTTACGTTACAATACAACAAGTAGCGAACCTATGCTAGGTCCTCGCGTGTTACTGCAGGTCGATGTAGGTTGTAGGGTCAGGTCTCATTGGGACAAAGGAAAATATCATGCATCGAATAACACGGCGATTACGATTTTTCAGCAGAATTACAAATGTTAGTCCATGGAACTACGGGTTTGTAGGTCCATGGTTAGTCTGACGGGTCAATTCCGAATTCATATAGTATAATAATGTATTTATTTTAAAACAAATCATTTAATACACTTGTCCTGCGACCTTAGCCCACAGGTTGGCGGAATGAGTAAATCATTGACGCTAATACGTCATATCATGCCGGGATTTCCTCCATTTTATTTTATTTCGCGACCAGGTTTTAACTTCACTTTGGTATTAAACTTAAAAACACGCGGACTACTGACCCAACAGTTTCACATGTTTATCACGGAATGAATGTTGAGAAGTAAAAGCGTAACATTGCCATTAATATAACACCCGATAGGCACATCAATTGTTAACAAATATAATTTCGAAAAGTACAAGGAAAGGTTGCATTCCAACTTTTTGTTAAACATCACTACCACAACAAGCTAAAAACGAACAAAAAGTGTTAAAACATTGCTTTTTTAAATAACATAATTTACAATTTCTTTCATCAATGATTTTAATTTTTATTATTTTTAGATAAACTTTCTGCGAAGAAATGACACGTACATTATGGGTCTGTGTAATAGTCAACGGTATCATCTGTACATTTTGTGGGAACGCCAAACAGATGGTTAATTTTACCAGTAGTACCCTAGAGTTTACTCATCTGACTGTTAATGATAACACAGGTGATGTATATGTCGGTGGTGGTAACTACGTCTATAGATTGGATAGTGATTTACAACTCATCTATAATATAACAACTAAACCTGATGATGGAACTGATAACTATAATAAGATATTATCTATTAACTATGATTACAATAATCTGATTACATGTGGAAGTTATCGCGGAGTTTGTCAGATTAGAGATTTATCTGACTTATCCGTGTTGAATGATAGTGTTACTTGGGTTGCTGCACCAACTAAGGAAGACTCAACAGTTGGATTTGTAGCACCTGGTTATGATAATAAACCGAATTTGTATGTTGGCACACCAAGGCGAGGCAATGCGTATCCTGGAGATCAAGCTGTATCCGGACGACAACTTGATGAACTATTGTTTCACTCAGCTAGGTCGTGGGAGTGGGAGTGTGCAGTAGATATGTATTGGTTTTATGAAAACAGTGTTATATATGTAACTGGATTCAGTTACCACAGATTCAGTTATTTTCTCACTGTTCAACGATTGAGTAGAAATGATAATACGTACATATCTAGGATTGTACGTGTATGTCAAGAGAGGAACGACTACTACTACGATTCTTACACTGAGGTAACCTTACAGTGTGAGGGCTCTGATAGTACGTTATACAATCTACTACAAGCAGCTGATGTCATGAGACCAGCGTCAGATTTAGCTACATCACTGTCATTGGAAGACGATGAGCACGTTCTATTTGCTGTATTTGGCAAAGGCAGAACACCATGGAGTTTAACACCATTACAACATTCCGTGATTTGTATATATAAAATGACAGACATTGAACAAGCCTTTATAGATGCGATATCTGGATGTATTACCCAGGGTGGGGATGAATATCAGTTAGACCATATCTTTGAATCGCGGTGTTATACCTGGGACAATGGAGGCAACATACCTGTAAGTATATGTGTACAACTGTTCTTATTTTTTCTATTCGGACCACACATATACAAAGATTATAATTGGATACAACTTAGTTAACGCAAACATACATGTCAATTTTGTAAACATATATGTATTTGCATTCTAAAAGTCGCACACAGACTTTCATTGATGAATCAAACTAAACTAAATGGCGTTATTAGTGGTAATCAACCAGGATTTGAATCAGAAAGAACTCACTTAAATTGATATTCCTAAAATATAAATCCAAAAGTTATATAACCTACCTCCACATACAATTAAAAAACAATTAAATGCTATAATTTCAATGGGCTATTTTTGTAAACAATGTATCTCACACGCTTGTACACGTGGTTATGATACCATCAATGACATTTTAATGCAGACAGTTCTTATTGAGATCTAATACATCAAACATATGTATGGGGAAATGATCATGGAATATTATCACCTACTTTCGGTTCTAATAACATTATATTAAATTATGGGCAAAGAAATGGGGAATACCATTGATTGAACCGTCATTTGTGGATCGGTGAACATGACGTACTAAGGTGTGCTCCTGCTACAGTGGCAAGGCACTTTGCCATAGTCGTGAGCTCGAACCTTTTCTTTGCGTATATTCATTATCTGCCTGTACTTTTTGTGTGTAACAGAATCAGGTTTGCAGTGGTTGAGAAGGTTATGGCAGTTGTTTTTGAAATTAATGTGAAAAGCCATTTTGAGATACTAGTATTGCAAATTAGCTTGCAGTATCACTAATTGTATTTCAATATTGATTATGTATAACATGAGACAGTTCGTTAAAAGCTGACTTGTAATTTGACGAGTAAAGAACCCTGCATACTACTTTTTGGATACTGGATTTTGGTGACATTATTTAAATGGTGATACTTGCTCAACGTATTTATATATACATTTTTTTCGTGGGGATGACATGTAGATTTCATCTGTATGGCCTAGTGCATCTCAGGATGAGTCAACACGACTAACACGGCATTTATATATATATATATATATATATA